TTCACTTTCACTATCACTCACACTCTTTCCTTTCTTCATTCCTCAACCCTCTTCTTCCCTTTCGAATCGACTCCTTCCCCTCCTCCTACGCCACCATCTACCTACCCTGTCATACCCTCCACACACCTATCAAACCTGAACCCCTCTTACAATTCTCCTCTCCCTTTTCCTTCCAATCTTCCTCATCCACTCCCTTTCGAACACTAGTGATTCTCAGAGGTGACTATCTTTTTCTGTGGACCCCGCCCAAATGTTCACATCCTTTCTTCCCCTCTACGTCTTACATCTTTCTCTACCCTTCCTTTTTACGATCCGCAGCAACATGTCCTATTTTCTCCCAGTGGCCACTTCCGATGCACTGCCCTTTTGACATCATCTTGTAACGGCGGGTGGAGGAGTTGGCGGGCAGGCAAGCGTGGATGGGCAGGTAGGCGTGGGTGGGCAGGCATGCGTGGCTGGGAAAGAATGTGTGGGTGGGTGTGTAGGCAAGTTGACACACTTGGGGAGCTCATATGTTTTGGATGGTGTGAGCGGCGTAAGAGACATCGGCAGCGTGAGAGGGCGGGTATGGGGCGAGCGTGGGGTGGGCATGGGCAAGTGTGGGCAGGTCTCGGTTGCTGAGGGTGCCGTGGAGAGGGCGCCGTGGAGAGGGCCGTGCTGGCGGACGGGTAATGTTGACAGGGCGACAGATGCGTGAGGGACAGACGTGATCGGCGTGGGTGGGCAGACTTGGACGTCGGATGACGTCGGAGGCGTGGGCTGAGGGGCGAGCGAGCGAAGGAGGGAGGAGGAATGGGTAGGTGGAAGAGTCGGCGGGCGGGCAGGCGTAGGCATGGTATGATGCACTGAGGACAGTCTTGGGCGGGCGGGCAATACTTAGGAAGACGTGTGGCGGCCATGGGTGACGTCGAGGCGTGGAGCGAAGCGAGGGAGGAGAGGAGTAGGCGGGCACACGCAGGCAAGGCGTTGGTGGGCGGTCGCGAGGGGCGAGGGGCGAGCGAGGGCGAGCAGGCGGCGAGGGAGGCGCAGGGCGAGGAGGGCGAGCGGAGGGGCGAGCGAGGCGAGCGAGGGCGAGCGAGGGGCGAGCGAGGAGCGAGCGAGGGCGAGCGAGGTCGAGAAGGGGCGGAGGAGGATTTGGCCGGGCAGGCGGGCGGATGCATGCTCAGGAGGGCGGGGCGGCGTTGGTGTACGTCGGAGGCGCGGGCGGGCCTGGTGCCAATTACTCGAGCGGGCTGCGCGGCGGGCGAGGGGGCGCGGGCGCTGTTGACACGCCGCGCGGGGCAATTAGCCCTCCGCCGAGGGAGCGGGCTGCGAAAGGCGCCCGCCCGCCCGCGCCGCGTGCGCCGCCGGGGAGAGGCGCGCCAACAATGAGGACGCGCCGCCCGCTGCGGCAGCGGCTGCGGCTGCGGTGGCTCCTTGAGCTCGCGCCGCCCTCCATCTACTGCCAGGCAGGCTCGCATCTGCATGGACGCGCCCAAGGCAGTGCGTTTAGCAGGGCAAGTTAGCTACCGACTTCCTGAGTCAATCCGAGGTACTGTGTGGCGGCGTGTCACGGACGGTCTCATAAACGAAGATTCCACATGCATGCCACTCCCCAATATCAGGAGTGTTAAACGTTTCGCAAGGTAACTTATGGCCTTTGTGAAAAGGTTCCGGGTAACTATGATTGATAACAAAGTAAATACTTAGGGTATGCAAATAGAGGACGAATGAATGTAGATGATCATACTCTACTGTTTGCCAATTGAGAGCCATTTAATGATGTCATTAACCTTCTGATTCCTTTTTATTCGGAAGAGTTGTAGTACTGCAAGTGTTGTAGTAAATCTCTCTATAGTGATTCTTAAAATGTTGACTATATTGTTTCTGATTGCCGCCTAACTTCTCAGATATATTTTCTAGTTTCTTTCAATTATGCTAATTCTTCGTATTTTATATTCATATAATTTTTCACTAATATTTACTAAAGTATTTTACTTATTTTGTTTTACAGTAATTGAAGGCTGATCAATAAAATGATGAAAATGTTGGTATAAACTACATATTTTATTCAAATATTTGGAATGCCAAATACACCAACGTTTTTCCATTTGTCATTCTGACATGTTTATACTTTTTAAAACATTTTTCAACAGTTTATTGCTTACAAAAGATGTCCAAATTGGGTACTCTACTTGATAGATTCTATACACTGTTTTTAGAGACATGGTTCACGTGTTCCGAAATTGCACTCATAAATCCGTATTATCTTAATATTTGCCAATGTGTTATACCAGGGTTATCATAAATCATTTTTTTAAATTTACTTAAGATCTCTTTTCAACTGCTAAGAGCATATACCACTGTATGTAACATTACGGGCACGAAGCAGCTACGGCTGTTCATCCCTAGCGACCGAGCCTAACCAGGCCGGCAATATTTTTTTTATTTGATGAATTGAATGAAATAATTTAATGACATACGGACTTTAAATATTAATTAAACTGATGAGTAGTTAATTCAATATACCATTGAATAAACAACACATGAATAAACAATACAAAGCTGTTACTGTTTCTCAACACTCCCCTTAAAAGTCGAGAAATATATAGACATCAATAGCCAGACGACAATATTCATGCAGTCTGATTCACAATACCCGATGATGATGCACAAAACCCGGAAACAAATTCAAAAGCAACCTGTTCGCCAATACTACGCAAAGTACTGCCGCACTACACGTTTTTTTTTCAGCAATTCCGGCGTTTGCTATTGTCCACATTTCGGACGTTAACAAACAACGGGCGAAAGAGAGCGGAAGGAAAGGCACGGTTTGCACAAGAGACTCCTTTTATATTCAAAGGTAGGCAGCAGCTCCGACAGAATCTGTCACACAAAATATAAATTTATTACATCGATCGTTAACAAGCCGCTTTTTACCAAAAATAAAAGCAGCTTGATGGCGGCTGCGTATGAGTCTCTTTGTTATAAGCAGAGGAACAGGCCCGTAAACAAATTCCCCGCTGGGAGGAGAGGGGAATAAAAAGAGATTTCGAGCATAAAGTGGCTGCTGCGGGGGGTGTAATTGATTGAAATTCCGGGCTATATGTGACGCGGTGTCCGCCCATGTGGCTTCATTACGTCTGCCTGACCCGGAAAGTGGTGGCGGTGGCCTCAAAGAGATGCAGATGAGGGGGGGGCGGGGCTGGCGAATACGGTTAATTATATTTGGAACTAATTAAACCCTCCACAACCTTCCCGGAATCTTGTTCCGCATCCATATCGGTTGTTTATTGAATTTGATCAGGCAGTGTAGTTTGCGGCTCAAATCTGATGTATTATGCTCGCAAATGGCATTAATACCCGACATTGGAAAGGATATAGGAGCAGCAAACACGTACTATTCGAGGTGTTATTCACAGCGATTGTATGTTGACATAATATATTAGAGCTTATAATTTCTCACGTACAACGGTAAATATACGCGATATGAATACACTGACAACATAACTACTTTCACTTTCGTTATGATATTTCAGTAAACTTGTTACATTTAAGTAGTACTTCAGTTCCAAATTCCTGCAATAATTAATTTCAAACCACAACTGACTTATAAATATTTCTAAAAATTGCATTATTGATTGTTCATTTCATTTAATTTAATCCTTTTATATCGGGGTCATAACCATATATGGCGATCCGTAATTCAGTAGAAAGAAAAATAAGTGAAAAGTAAAATCTTCCCCCCCCCCTCCAATCATAATTGCGAGAAACCCCTTTACCCAATTGCGTACGTAATTTCTTTGAATGGCCTTCTTTTTATTGTGTACTTTTTTATTCAGCTTTTCAAAGTAATCAGGAGGAAGACCTCACAACCAATAAAGACATTTATTTTATTTACTTTATAACAGACCACGCCGAGGTTGGAAAATGGTATAACCATTGGCCGTTCGACCCTGGAGCTCAGGTTCTTCCCCGGTGAATATGCATGGAGGAGATGGTGATGAGTGGAGTGATTTTTGACATTATCGAATGTAAAATGCATTTCCAGCGCACACACACACACACACACACACACACACACACACACACACACAAACATGAAGAGTTCAACCTTTCGATAGATTACTTTTGGATCTCATCTTTGCGACGGACAGCGGAGCGACACAATAGATGAGTGATGTCAGAAAGCATTGTACCTCGGAAAGAAGTCCCTGGAAAACCAGCTTAGTAGTCAAAACCAATAAAAGTTTCCTGGTCTGCAATTCAGCTGATTGATTCATAGACTTTTACGTGCACGTGAATGTCTATGGTCATTACTCCTGTTAGTGTAGTGCATGTTTGGATGGTGAGATCCGGCGCCGCAGACATGGGTTTTCCTCACCAGGTATCTCCCACCAGTCGAGCACCGCCTCAGCTGGAACAAGCTCCAAGTTTCCGACCGGTCTCCCGACATATGTGGTGGAGTAGTGCACATAAGTGTGTGGGTCTGTGAGTATGTGTAAGGGGAGAGATAAGAATAAGTAAAGAAAGACCACGCGCGGTTTGAGGGCCGTTTGGTAGGGCATAACCCTTGCAGTAAAGAAAGTACCGCTAAGAGCAGTCGGGTGCAAGAATTCTCTAGACAGCAACTGAACTAAATCTATCTATAAGAGTAGCGTCGAAAATTCCGCCTCTGATGGGACTCGAAAATCTACGACCTCCCTGTCGGAGGCATTGCAGAGTCAGAGACAATGAGGCGTTGAAGGAATTTTGACGTTTTATATACTTGGGATATGCTCTTCCACTTCTGAATTTTTAGGATGACTTCAATAAAATATTTACTACATAAGACTGACTTCATAAGACACGGAGACTGAAAACTCGTTTAGGTAAAGGTACGTTCCCCAGAACGCCGGAATTGAAATGTATATTTTTAGAATATACGAAAGATATGAATTTCAAGTTCTCAGATATTCAATAACAATTCCAAAATATGCGCAAATAAAAATTGCATTTATTAATATTTTGGACGAACTCACCACCGGTAAAATCTGCAAAGCTTCATAAATGGTAAAAACAGCTACTAACCTGCAACAAAAGAAAAAATACATTAAAAAACTATAAAACACCGATAACAAAATTAGGCTGATAAACTGCATGCCCTTGGTAGAGAACACTGTAAATACAATCTTTATTAACCTGATTTCAAAGCAAGAGTATTCCATCGCTCTTTAAAATATTGATATTTGCATTTTTCGTTTAATGACGATGAATGGGAAATTTTCTCATTTTTCCTGGGGTTTGCTATTGTTTCAATGCATAATCAATGTATCCAAATTCAACACTTATTCATGTAAAAGTAAACTGACGCTAGAATTTAAAACCATACGATACTTTGGCATAATATATGGAATTCATTTTATTCTCTACACGGGAAAACATTACAGGATTAACACACAACTGACTAGTAATTTGCGTTGAATCTGTGAAAGTAAGGTAGAGATGGTAATTAATAAGAAAACAGTCCATCGAAGAAACAAGTGGAACTCATTAATACATGAACAGGTTTCTAGGTAAACCAAGTTGGGAATTGATTCTATTAAATTTGTCTACTCAGTATCGTTTAGGACATCAAGTAGTAGGTAGGAGACCAAGTAATCTTTCTTTAACACACTCTTTAATATGTAGTATTTCTTTTAATAAACAAAAGTCAGGTCGAATGATATATTTTTCCTGGATAGATCACTGTTCTAAGACCTAGCTAAAAACGTAAGAATTACAATTCATTTTAGTAAATCCAAACTCTCGGACAATAGTAATGACACTAATGAAAAGATTAGGATAAATATGATTTAGCGATGTAATAATACAAAAAATCTACTTTTATGCGTTTCATTTGTATACCGACGATTACGTACGTAAAAGTCAATGGTACATTTCACCGTGTCAGGAAAAATTTGGTCGTTATCCGGCTCACGATTACATTACCCTTTAACTTCCCGATCACCACAGAGGGGCTGGAACGTCAAAAACCATTAGGGTCCCTTTCGAGACCCCATCTCCAATTATATATTTTTAGTGGAACTCAAAAATTCTTTTAGATAGTTTGTTGATAGAAAAACTTTCAAATTGTGTTTACACTAGTTAAAAGCGCAATGTTATAAAAAAGCAAACCATTTTAGTCCAAAAAAAGTTACAGAAAATACCACGTGGGTCTTGCAAGGACCCAAACAACAATTTTTAGGAATCATTACATAATGTAAAGCATATATAAATGTATTGAGTGAAAATGAAGATGTGTTTCAAGGATATTGAAAATATGTGTACATCAGTTAGTAGCGCAATATTATGAAACCAAACCAAGAAGTTTATTTCGAAAAAAAGTTACAGAAAATACTACGGTGCCTCCCAAGGACTCTAAGCACCAATTTAGGAATCAGTACATAATGTATCCCATATATAAATGTATTTAGTGAACATTAAATACGATAAAAAATTCTTTGACTAAAAAATTCATTGAGCCACAATTAAATCCACTCAGGTTTTTAATGAATTTCCGTCAAATTTCCAAGAGACTGGCGTCGTCATAAACCGTCTCTTCACCCTCCAAGAGCGAGTTGCGAGTGAGCGCACTGGGCCTAAATGGCTGACCGCCACACGCGGCGTTTGACAGCGAGCGCTGAGCTGCAGTGGCGGCTGAGCAGTGGGCGCGGCGCGGCGCCCAGCCACCGGAACGCCCTACGCTCTCCGCCCTCCGCCCGCGTGCAGGTGCGCCCACGAAACCACTTCCGGTCAGCGCAGCCGACGACACCGTCCCCCTCCCCGCCGGAAACGGCCCAGCCACCGCTCGGCGCACGCCCGCTGTTACCGACACCGCTGCCGCCGCTCCATTCACCTCCTCTCCGCGCCGCCGCCGCCCCGCCCGCCCCTGCCACAGTACCGTACGGTCACCTGTCACCTCCATTCCACCATCCTCGTCGCGGCCGCGTCTTGGCGACGCGCCACGCGCGCCTTCGTCGTCGTCTTCGCGCCCTCCACTTCCATCTCCCCCCACTGCGGCCTCCCGTCACCGCACCGTCGCGCCACCCCGAATCATCATCTCGCGTAAAAATGCTCTGCGACGAGCTAACCTGCGGGCCTGCTCTTTCGCAGAATTCTAAACTTGCAGACATGTATCTGATTTCATTTACTTTCCCACTTAGTGTAGGATTCGATTTCTTTTTCACATGTTCTATTTAGTTATTACATTTGATCGATTGTAAATTGATTCCGCTTCTGATTAGTTTCAAAAACATTTTCGCATGCTTTTAAAGCTCACTAAAGGCATTGAATAATCAATATTTAAACAGTTTGTGTGACAAAACTTGAAATCTCCTGTACCGAGTATATTTTACCCGATTACTTTAACAACACACCAATTCAGAAGACTATGAATTCAGACAGAACGTATTCTTCTCTGAATGTCAGAACACACATTGTTAGTTATGAATGGAAACGTAACGACAACATCTGCATCTCGCCGTAGCAATTCTGTGCGGGGCTAACTGCAGGCTCTCGAGAATTCTAAAACTCGCAGACCGTGTACTTATCTCAATTCCATTTCGCATTATGTAATGATTGGTTTTTCTTCTTATACCTGTTCTATTTATTATACTTGATGGATTGTATTTTGATGCCGGCTCTGTCAGTTTTCCAACAAACATTCTCGAATCCTTAAAGCACACAAGACATTGAATATCATACTTAAAAGTTTGTGGAAAAAACCTGAATCTTCCTGAAGTATCTTTCGTAACACGCTTATTAAACAACACAGATCCGAATATTGATGCCGGTATTCTTCTGGCATTTGTAAAACACAGATTTTTTTACTTATGAATGGAAACGTAACAAAATTTTCTACTCTTTTTGTAAACCGGCGGAAAAATTGAATTTCAGCCGGCAAGGCCTTCTCATGAAATGAAAGGTGAAGGAGGATTAGCTGGGAAGTAAATATTTGCGTTCCAATCGGACGCAAAGTGTATCGACTATCCGCTTGGGTTTAAAAGCCTGAAAAAAAATTAAGGTAAACTCGCAACATGTTTACTACTTCCAAAACACCGATGAACGGAAAAAGCATTTTTGAATAAATTATGTCGGCATTTGCAGCAAATTGCTCGAACTCTAATTTTTCAATCTCTGCTTTACGCCCTCTCCATCAGCATCCTTACGTACCCTACAGAACGTATGATTTACTTCGCTTCTGATGGGCACGTCGGTCACAGCGGCTGTAAGTTTGGTTCGGGTAGTTCTGCTACTCGCATGTTCTCGTACGACATTCGGGCATTTTCGTCCGATCGGGCTGGTAGAATTTCGCGTCGTGTCAACTCCGCTTATTCGCCTCTAAACCTGTGTCCTGCTGGCCGCACTGGGGCGTTGCCTCTAATGAATCATCCCCCGAACGCTTTCTCACCGGGCGTCCACGCAACCGGTCTCCTTGACACCATATCCTCTCGCCCAACGCGCTCCGCATCAGCATCCAGACGCTCCCCCCCCCGTCTTATCTCGGAGCTCGAATAGGCACTATCGCCATCATGCGTGCTGCGAGGGGCGGTCTCGTGGTCCCGATCGGGCGATCGCCGCGAGACACACAAGACTCCGCTCCGGACGGCAGTCACGGCTTGAGCGGCTCCCCAAGCGCAATCTGCAACCCTTCAATCGGCTCCGCCTGCTTGAATCTTTTCATCCTTACGTCGCCCGACGCCTGCCGACGCCTTGGTGAATCGTCAAAAGGCCGCAGTGTCGCTGTTCGCCCGCGGGCGATTGATTAAATATTTGACAAGATGTCCGGTTGCTAAATGGTGCATTCGGATTCGGGGAGGTGTGACCGAGGGGTGCGTCCAAGATGGGGGTGCGAAGCGGGAGCGGTGATGTCGAGGATGTCGCGGCGGGCGGCGCGCGGTTCGGGCGATAGCATGACGGAGGCAGGGGTGGTGTCCCCAGGCATGGAATCAGTGGAGGCGGATTTGGCGGGGATTCAGCGGGGGGGAGGGGGGACTGGCGAGATGATGCGGAAGGGGGTTGGGTGACGAGGGAAGCGGGGTGGTGACGACAGCGTTTGCAGAAGTGATGGGGCACGGAGGCGGGGAACGTTGTGAGGAAGCGGGAGGATGAAGGGGGAGAAAAGTAGTGGAGGGGTAGGAATGAGGAGCGGGGAAGGGTCGGGGAGTGGAGTGGGAGAGGAAGATGGAGGGAGAGGGAGGGTGGAGGGCAGAGGAGGGTGAGGGGAGAGGAGGGTGGAGGGGAGAGGAGGGGGAGGCAGAGAAGAAGTGGAGGGCAGAGAAGAGTGGGGGAGGGGAGGGTGGAGGGCAGAGAAGGTGTGGAGGCAGAGAAGGGTGGAGGGCAAAAGAAGGGTTGAGGGCAAGAAGAGGTGGAGGAGGGAGAGGAGGGTGGAGGGGAAGAGGAAGGGTGAGGGGGAGAGGAGGGTGGGGAGAGGAGGGTGGAGGGAGAGGAGGGTGGAGGGCTGAGAGAAGTGGTAGGGGTAGAGGAGGGGCTGGCAGGGGAGAGGAGGTGGAGGGAGAAGGAGGGTGGGAGGGGAAGGGGAGGGTAGGATGGGAGAGAAGGGTTGGAAGGAGAAAAGGTGGGGGCCAAGAGAAGGGTTGGAGGGCAAAGAGAGTGGAGAGGAGGAGGGTGGAGGGAGAGGAGGGTGAGGGGCAGAGGAGTGGGTGAGGGCTGAGAGAGTGGTAGGGGCAGAGAGGGGGAGGGGAGGGAGGGGCGGGTAGGGAGGGGAGGGTGGGGCGAGAAGGTGGAGGGGAGAGAATGGGTGGAGGGCAGAGAAGGGTGGGGAAGGGGGAGGAGGTCGTGGTGACAGGAGGGGTGGGTTGGGGGTGAAGGGGTGGTGGAAAGAGGGGAGGTCATGGAGGAGGCGGGGGAGCGTGCTTGAGGGCGGAGAGAGTTGGGGCGGTAAGCGGGGGGCAGTGGTAGTGAGGAGAAGTGCGGACTGGGAGGGGCCGAATGGAAGGTGGATAGCCGGGGAGCGCGGACGAGGACCTGGGAGGGCGAGAGGCCGTAGGCAGGTGAAAGCGAGCAGCGTCATTGGACCTGCCGCACGT